TGCTGAGCAGTATGTCTTAGTGCTGAGTAGTATTCAGTTCATAAGTAATAATCAATAATAATAGAAAAGATTTATATCATCCTTGATTATAGTCGTTTGTTAAGATGCTATAGGCAATATATACGATTACTAACAAATCGTAATAAATGAGTATGAACCTAAGACTTTGCCCTTTCCTATATATATCTATAGGATAAAAATCTTACAATAATTCAATTCAGCTTTATTTATGATTTTAATAGGATCACCATGATACTTGTATAATAGAATTTGAGATGTAACTTCAAGAGATTATGTCATGTTGAGTCTACTATTGTTTTTGAATTTGGTACGATAGCCAAGAATGATTTGATTGTTTTGAAATTTTATCATAATATCGATTATATATGTAAGGAATAATCTGTGATAAAATCTAAGAAATTCATTGTAGTATATAATTTTTTTGATCAGTGAGTTAGCCCTTTGCATAAGTTTTGTATGAAAGAAAATCAATAATGTATATTATAAACATCCTTATCAGTATCGAATATATATAATACAGTTGTAAATTTATTTCTTTAACATAGTGCGTTTCAAATTGAATCCAGTATTAATTAGTAGGTAAGATAAAGTGAATAAAAAGGTTGTTCTGATGATATAAATGATAGATAGATGATATATATTCAAATTTAAAAATAAAATTTCACACTGATACTAATTTCCAGACTTCCTAAAAATCAACGGTGGTAGTAGTTTAGAAGGTTTTCGTTTAATTTGTCAGAAGTATTTTCTTCACACCGTGTTTTCGAAATGAACAGATCAATGGTTTTTATGTGTTATTCTAACTATTACCATCACATAATTAACAAAAAAGATATGTTTTTGTAATATGTATTACAATATTATAAGTGTACTTCAACTTGCTAAATATAGGGTAATTAGCAAGAATATATAATTGATAAATATTTTATAAAAACATTCGTGCTGTAACAGTATCTCAAAACCCAAAACAAACCAAAACTTTTCCAAAACCAATACTACCAAAACCAAAACTATGTCAAAACTATTACGCCAAACCAAAACCAAATCAAAACCAAAACCTCGAAACCCAAGAGGTTTGGTATTGGTGCATGCCTATGTAGAACCATGAATTCAAGGATGAACAATATGAAATTAAATATTGACCCTGTAAAAATATCGAAAAATTTCTCTAGAAGAGAAAAGTAGCAATCCATTGTTTCTTGTCAACTCTATCTGAACAGATGTATTGCACACCATATAGAATAAATTATATATACAAGTTCGAAAACGTACAACAGTGACATCTTTAAAAATCTCAGATTCATTTCTTCTTGATTGGCTATCATGCAACTTTATTCATATATACTCTTCTCTTCTCTGTTGGAATTCCGGTGCATTTTTTATGAAAACTAAATTAATTACCTTTGGCATTATAAATATTATCGTTATATCAACAAGTATACCATTAATTTAATTAATAGTTGTTTTATTTCTATTAATCAATGATATTAATACATTAATCTATTAATTTTTTATTTATCAAAAATAACTTTTATTTTTAGATGAATCGTTTTTTTCTATTACGTTCAACACCTTCTATAATACGTTTATGTTCTCGTACAAATAAAACAAATTTTGGTTTAACAAATCGTGAACGAAAACGTTTTTATAAGCAAGTTTCTATTGCTGAATCATCTCAATCACCAACTAAATATGAAATCTTACTTGATCAAAGAAAATTAAAAACACCATTAGGAACTTTAATAACAATTGAAAATGAACTTCTTGCATTAGCTCTTGCACAAGAATGGCATCAACAATATACAAATATTGATTTATCCTCAATGCATTTAAATGCTTTACTTAACACAACAATTGATAATCCATTGAAAATAACAAAAACTCAATTAGTTGATAAAATAATGTATTTTCTTGATTGGGATACAGTACTTTTTCGTTCGGATCATCCACCAGAATTTCAACAATTACAAACAGAATCTTGGGATCCAATGTTATCATTTATTAATGAACAGTTTCAAACAAATTTTGAATCAACTTATTATCTTGATGTGAAAGATTTAGTAAAGAAAAATGATCGAGATGTAATTCAAAAATATTTAACAAGTTTTGATCAACCATCATTAACTATATTTTTATTTATTGCTGAACAATTAAAATCAATTTTATTAACTATTTGTTTAATAAAACAATTTCGTACAGTAGAAAATATTTCGACATTATCAAGACTTGAAACAGAATTTCAAATATCACGTTGGAGTAATGTGCCATATTATCATGATTATGAAATAGTGGATATACGTTCGAAAATTTCAGCTGCTTATTTGATTTTTTATTGTTTAAACAATAATATTACAAGAACAGTTTTGTCTAAAGAGACAATTTAATTTAAATAAACAAATGTTTTAGTATAGTTTAAACATTAATCCTTTGTTTTTTTTGTCTTTTTAGATATAAAATTTAGAATAGAATGGAAATAAAATAATCAGGTAAATAAATTTTGTTATTTTGATTGAGAATGAAACTAAAAGAATTTGTCTTGTTGGACATTTTTCGATTGTCGAATAAGAATGCTACTAGAGATTAAATAAAACATCGTATAAAATGCAACATAGTTCGAATTTCTAGACAGTATGACATACAAACATTTTTAAACTTGATTTTGATTAGTTTAATTTAAAAGCTAAATGTATCTTTGACAAGATCAGAACCATAGATATTGTTTGAAATACAAGAAAATGAGTGAATTGAATTATTAGACTAAACAAAAATATTTCTATCCTTCAGTATATATTCAATAATGACTAATGCAAAAGTCTTGGCACGAATGTCGAGCTGAACTGTATGATAACGATGAATACTACAAATCTAGTTCTTTTTTTTATTAGAAAAAGCATGAAAAATAGATAATAAAATAATACAATAAACAGAATAGACAAATTTTCAAAAGTTTCCCTTGAACCCCTTGAACCATACACCTTGTCACCGTTTTTTGATACGATTCGACAGTTGATCCAAGGTTTTAGCTTTTCACCCTCCTGGATATACTCGACTGAACGACATTGAGGAGCGTTTGAAGGATTTTGACGCCGAGTTACGAAAGGCATGCTATTTTCTTCCAAAGAATCCAGTACTGAAGAGGCACAATGAAACGACGCGAAATCAGATCTTGTCGTTCTGGTAATACTTTTTGGCGAATGAGTTGTTGAATTATGTTTTACTTATCTTGTAATAATACTATAAATTGTTCTAATTGGAACATTTTGTTTCTTGAAATGATTTACCGTCTATTTTCAAACCCATCCCTTATCTGAAAATACAAAAAGAAACACCTGATTAGAAACACATTGGTTTGTTCTTTTTAATTAAAAATCAGACAAATACTAGTGTCGTTCAACGACAAAGTATCTCTGCTATCTGTTTAGCTATTGAAATATTATCTAAATTTATCGAATAATGTAGAATAATTTCATTACAAAATATACATTTAATCGGATTGTTAAACATGATAGAATGTCTGCACGAGTAACTGTAATGAAACACTATCCGTACAAATACAAAAGATGACATTCCTTTTTCATTTTAACAAATACATACCATATGTATCTGTCATAGATTATATTTTATTTTAGTTTTCAAACATTCCATCAAATGAATGTACATTTACTTCATTATATCAAAAATCATCTAATGCAATTAAAATATTAAATTTCAACTGATTTATTTCATGTTATTATTCAAGTAAGTTAATGTTTTTGAAATAAGATTAATCGAAAATAAATATAATTAAAAATGCTATAAATTCGAACAAAGGTGAATGATATTAGATTGTATTTATCTCAATCATTTCGACATAGATATTTTCTCATATTTCTTTTTATAATGCTATACATCAACATTAACTTTTATTTATCTGTTATTGTATCGAGAAAAAAAACAGATTTATGTGTATTTATTATAACAATTGATTTCGTATCCTATCATTTATAATCAGAGATTTAAATAGAATATTTCATTGAATCTATCTTGATACAATTCAATGAATGATCTTAAATTCTGATGAAATATTACAATAAAGTTTTAGTTCGTGATGGATTATTCAATACTTCATTACTCTGATCTATAACATTGACTACAAGGTATTTGTATGTATTTTGTATTATAATATTTCAAATATTCTTTTGATATGTTTACATTTGAATGACTTTTAATAAATGATAGAATAATTCTTAAAAATATTTTATCATTTATTGATAGTGCAATATTTAGCTATTTGGAATATACAGATAAACAATATCAATCAGTGTTAATGTTAATCGATAATATTTTTGAACAAAAGATAAATGTAAACATTCGATAGTGAAGAAATGAAAACAAATATTAAAAAGTTCGTATTTATCTGATAACAGATCGAGTAAATTTTATATCTTTACATTTTATTACAGCTTGCAAAAATTCTAATCAATGGTAATCATATTGAAATTGTTTCTTCTACTGTCTTGTTGACGAAACTTTTTTTCTGTTTGCACAGCTTTTATTCCCTCCATTCATTGAATAGAATATACTAACATTTTGTTAAAGAATAATACACTTCTCCTAGGCTATCATTATATACAATCGATCAGACAAAATATTTCGATGTAAATAAAATCTAAGGTTTGTTATTTATTAAAAGAAATATCTGAGCTTGCGTACACTTCGGTTCTTGTATAGACATTGATTGATGTGTATAGTGCATTAACTAAGTGACACAATATGTGTAAACTACAGTAGTAAGGAATTAATTAATAAAGAGAATGCTATAAGACAGATTTTACTAAAATATCTTGCAATGTATTTTCTCCTGATATAATAAATTTGTTAAAAATATAAAATTTTAAATGTACAAATACAGATATTTTTTACTATTTCTTATGCAGAATCTAGACTATTAGACAACTATTTCATCTATCAACAAAACCATGTCATATTACATACACATTAGAGACCATTAACATTGTACAGACGAAATGTCATGCAATTGAATAGCAATTACCGATAGACACCAACGAATCCTAATCTTTAAAGTTAAAGCTATGATTTATTAAGTAATAACAACAAAGGGAATCATTTTTTTGTATACCAAACATTGATCGTTCCACTTTAAAACAAATATATATATATAATTGTAGATATTTTTTCAGATGTTATCAGGATGAATGTTTATTATTTATTAATAATTATTTATTATTTTGTATATTCTTTTATTGTTTGTGATCAATCATGTTCACGTGAAAACAGCCGAATTGTTCGTGATTATTTTATAGAAGTAATTTAACAGAAAAAAACAAAAGAATTTTTTTTTCAATCTTATTATATTTCTTAAATTTTAGGCAATTTATCCAATCTATGAAAAAAATCATCTATCTATTCCATATGAATGTATTTTTTCACCAAATCGTGATATTTTTTATCAGCAAGAATTAAATAAAGCTAAAATCTCAAATACGCAATGGTTATGTAAATATTGTAATAAAACATTTTATTCAGAATATCATCTTGATAAACACCTATCGAATCGACATAATGATACATTAATTCAAGTAACATATTTCATTGTTTTCTTTTTAGTATTAAAATTTTTAATCATTTAGAATGAACAATCTGTATGTTTAGCGGATTATTGTTTAATTTTTCGATGTGATGTATTAAAACAAACAAAAAAATCAATTCGATCTGTAAATCCATTAGCACGCGGGCCAGATATAGTCATAAGAAAATCAAAGCAATTTATTAATGAACAACAATTAACTATTCTAAGAAGTCGATGTGCAGTAAGGAAAAGATTTTTTTTTGAAATTTTTCTTTATCTATTTAAATTTTAGTCTGTTATTAACGAATGTGTTCCACATAATATTCATCATGATAATCGAGTTAATATTCAACGTGAGTGATAATGATTATAATCTTGAGGATTTCTTGTTTTTTTGCGTATGAAAAACGAGTATCGTTGTCTTCATGCTTGTTGAAACGATAGAAAATATATCGCAAAAGTATTTCGAGCCGTTTAGTCAATGAATCGGAACGATGGTTATATTTGAAATTATTATTATTTTCTAACTCGTTGCCCTGTAAGACCCATTATTCATGAAACAGAATGAAAAAAAAACAATCGAACACCTTTACCTTGGTAATTTTAAACTCGTAGAAAGAAAGAAAAAGTTTGTCAAATATATGAGTCATGTATATTTATGCATCAATAAAAGTACGAATGACTCATAGGAAACGTCGTCATATTATTTTGTTAAATATTACTGTCAGAAAAAAACAAATTTGTTTTTTTTCTAGATGAAATGTATGCAGAAGTTTGTGCTTATTTGACAACTAATAGATATTTGGAATTACCAAATTATTTCGTAAGAATATTTTTCTTTTGCAATAATTTAATATTAATAAATAAATCAATTTTTAGAAATCTTTGATTAGTTTTACAACTATTCTTAGTGCTGCAATATTTATTTTTCTATGTCTTATTGGTATTGGAATTCTAAGACGTGCCGATTGGAAGTATGTTTTGAATATTTATTTTCCAACAATTTTAATTTATTAAATATTTAGATTCAATGACGAGGAAGATGAATCTGAAAAACATCTATCTGATGAAACAATATCAACAGCAACTGCTTTATTATCAAAAACACCAGCCAGTGGAATAATTCATTCGTCAAAAAGTCCACCATCTACTATCCGTCATCGTGTTCGTTTTAAATCTCTAGACTAATATATATCAAAATTCATATCATCTCAATATGTAAAAAAATAAATGAATTTTTTTTTAAAGTTCCTGTTTTTTTGTGAATAATCTAGTCTTTGCTTTCGCTTATGTAATCTTCATATTTTTGTATTTTATATGTTGTCAGTTATTTACTGAATAGGTTGTTTTTCTATTAGAAAAAGAAAGGAGCCATTAAATAAGACATAATATTCTTTATAAAGGTGAGTATGATTTCATCCAATCAGTTTTCAATGACCTGTTCAAAAAAAAATGTAATTGCAACATGAATGTAAAATTATCTCAGTATATAAGCAGTTGACAAAATTGAATTGCTTTCATTTCTTTTTTTTCTTCATTTGAGAAAGACTTGGAATGTTTTCGACTTATTTTTAGATTCAATGATGTCAAAAAATTCTTCAATTGAATCCGCATCATCTGATGCTCTTCGTTTAAAAGCATTACAATCTGGTTTTGAATCTCGTGTTGAAGTTAATCAACGAATGTTGATCGATAAAATGCTTGCACGTTATTCATCGGATTTTGTTGTTTGTCGAGAATTAATTCAAAATTCTGATGATGCTAAAGCAACATCGTTTCATTTTGAAATAACTTGTAATGATGATTTATCATCATCGTGTGAAAAAGATTTTCATAATAAAACTATAACAGAAATTCGAGCAATAAATAATGGTTTAGTATTTAATGAAACTGATTGGAAACGTGTTGCAGCTATAGCTGAAGGAAATACAAATGTTGAATCAGTTGGGCAATTTGGTGTTGGATTTTTTTCGGTTTTTTCATTTTCGGAAGAACCAATAATAACATCAGGAAATGAATATATGGCATTTATTTGGCGTGATGATAATTCTTTAACAACATATCGTCATGAATTACCCATAGATCAACAATCACAATTAACATCAATTATTCTTAAAATGCGTACAAAATATATTTTACATACAGAAATCAATCGTGAGTTTGATCCTACAATAGATATTAATCAACAAACAACGACTAATTCACCAAATAAAAAAAAACAAAAAAAAAGTCTACCGATAGAAACAATGACTGATATTATTCCAATAATAAATCTTTCGCAACTCAAAGCTTATTTTACTAAAGGTAAAGAAATTCGAATAAAAAAAAATTATTGAAATTTCGTTTTAGTTTTATCATTTACAAAATATATCAATGAACTTATTATAAAAATTAATCAAAAAATAATTTTTAAAGTAACAAAAACAAAAAAGAAAATTCCATCGACAAAATCAAATTTACAATTTAAAAAAAATTCTATTCATAATATGTTACGTCTTGATACATTTATTCAAACAGAACAAACCTTTTCAATTGATCATGGTCCATCGATAACATTAAATCATATATCTGTTGATGCAACATTAATTATTGATGATAATTATCATAATCATATTCGACGAATATTAAAAAAAAGTTTACCACCATGTGTTCAAATTCAACTTTTATATGCTCCGAATAATGTTATAATGAAACAACAACAAGTATCAACAAATAGTAATCTTAATATGAAAATTCTTAATTCTTTAATACCATTAAAATTTCAAAATAATGATATTTATCCATCAGGATTAATTTTTATTGGTCTTGGTACACATCAAACAACGGGAATAGGAATGCATGTTTATAGTCATTTAATTCCAACAATTGAACGAGAAAATCTTGATTTACAAGATCCATATATATCTAAATGGAATAGAGAATTACTTTTATCTGTTGGACAAATAGCAAAATTTGTTTATGATCAATTAATGAATGAAAATAAACAATTTCAATCAACACTCGCTTCCTATTCATTTCAACCATCGGTACCAAATAATGAAATCGGTACAATTCTTCTCGATGGATTTTTTTCTTCAAATAAAGATCTACTTGTACCTGTCAAACGATCACCAAGTGATATTAATCTTTCACTTGTATCATCAACAGAAGCTTATATAGCAAATTCGAAATATATACATTCATTTCTTTCATTACCACTTGTACCATATGAATTAAGTCAAAATGGTTTATTTCAATCTTTAAAAGATCGTGATTTAATCATTGAAGTTAATAATGAATTAATTGAATCAACAATAATAACAACAATACTTTTATCAAGTCAATTTGTTGAATTTCTTCATTGGTTATCTAGTCAACATCATGATGATAAACAATATATAAAACGTTTATTATCTATTGTACGTTTTCGTGAAACAATTCAATCACCAATAATAACATTAGAAAAGCTAAAAAATTATGATAATTTTAATATATCAACAATTCTTCCATTACCATCACATGTTTTACCAGCTAGCGTAGCTACTTATCTATCACGAGATGAATTACAAAAACAATTATCATTAACTCCATTAACATTAAAAGATTTTCTTCATTTTTATTTACTTAAAACTCAACAATATTTATTTACGAAAGAAAATACATCAACATGTTTATTAAGTATTATATCGAAACATTCTGGACAATTAAATAAAACAGAATGGAATAAATTAAAAACAACATTATCAACAATGGCATGTATACCAACAAATCAAGGAATGAAAATACCGAATGAATCTTATATCCCATCATCAATGTTATCGTCAGATTTACCTGTTATTACATTAAATGTACCACAAAATCTAACTGATATTGATAATGAACAAGAGGATGATAAGCAATCGATTATTGATACTATGGAAAATCCTGTATCAGAAGAATTTCTTAAACGATTAGGTTGTCGAACATTAAATGTTCAATCGTTTGTACATGCACGATCATCATCAACAAATTCTAATGCACATAATATGAAATCTTTAATTGAACATCTAATGGAAGAACGAGATAATATGAGTGAAGGAGATTTTAATGCATTAAAACAAAGTGAATGTCTTCGAGGTAAATTAAAATAATTTTCTATAGATACATTTTCTTAATTCTTTTTTTTAAATAGGTACGACTCTTATACCAAGTAAAGAAACAACGAGAAAATATGCTCCACAAGACCTTCATTTTCCTTCAATTGCTATACAACTTCAATGGTCAACATTACCAATTATAGACTGGCATGATATTGATCCATATTCACGTGAATATGCATTTTTAAAAGAAATTGGTGTACGTGAAGTACCTGATCTACAAAAATTAATAAATAGAATTATTGAAGAACATAATGAACACAAGAATAAATCAATTTATGACTATAAATTACCAATAGCATTAAAATTTTTAGCAGAAAATTTTCAACAACATTATTCTAAACTATGGAAAACAGCTAAAATTAAACAACCATTTCTTCCATCTTATTCATCATCGAAAACTCTCGTATTATCATTACCAGAAGAAGTTTTTAAAGGTTTGATTTTTTTTATTCTTCTATATATCTCTTATTTCTTTTCTTCATTAGATGAAAGTCCATTATGTGCAACATTATTACCTGATGTTGTTCAATTATTTGAAGAACATTTTAATATAGGATTACTCGGTGTTAAAGATCGTCCAACTTTAACAGTAGCTTTCGATATATTAATGGAGAAAAAAGAAGATATATTGAATGTACAATCAGCTGCAAAGATTTTTGCTTATATGAATGAACTTGATGGTCTTAGTCGACCATTAATTGAACGTATATCAAAACTTGCATTTATTCCTCTTCAAGGAACAGATGATTTTATGAAACCATCACAAGTTTTTATTCGTCCTGATAGTACAACATCATCATCATCGAGACTTCGACAAATAAATGTTATTCTTCCACCATCATCATCAGATAATGACGATGATGATGATGAAATGACACGAACAAACGGTCGTCGTCGTCGAAAACGAAATGTTAAAACAACCATACCAAAAAATAAAAAAACTAAGACAACTTCGTCAATTCCATTAGTTATGGATGATGATACAGATAAAAGTGGTTTAATCGATTATGTTGATTATGGTTCTGAAGGAAATTCATTTCTTCTTGGCATTGGTGTATTACATCAACCATCTGCAATTGTTTTAGCTGAATTATTAATTGATCGTCAAGCAGATTATTTTTCAAATCTTAATCGAAATAATCCTAATGAATTAAAACAAAAATTACTTGCTTATACTAGTTGTCTTCGACAACTTGCTAATGCATCCAATGAATTACAATCTGCTGCATTAATAAAACGACTAAAAAATGAAGCTTGGTGTTTAGGTTATCAAACAGTTGAAAGACGTTCAAATAATGAAAAACAACGTATGTTTAAAATTGTTTCACCAAATGAAATTTATCTTGATGATGATCATCAATGTGCTATCGATCTTCAACCATTATTACCACCAGATGAATCAGAATTAACAAAATTATATGAAAAATTTGGTGCTCAATGGTTATCAGAATGTGTAAAACGAACTTTAGTACATAAAGGTAAAGTTGCTACATCAGATCGTGGTAACAAATTACGTGATTTAATTCAATATCGTCTGGATATGTTATTTGTTAATAATCGAGTAAATATTATATGAATTATCATGTTCAATCATAATTTTTTTTTCTTAGGGTGAAAAAATGGATAATCTTGATGAAAAACATATTGATATGTTACGAACAAATCTATCAGTTTATGAAGTTGATGGTATTCAATGTCAATTAACATTTCAAAAGAAGACTATTACACTTGAAGTAATCTAATATGATAATTCTTTTTCAAACTATTCTTCTTTTTTCTTATATTCTAGTCAACTGATAGTAGTTCATGTGCTCTTGAACATGATAAAAATAAAGTTTCATTATATTTTCAAAAACATATTCGTGAATTTGATTATATTGATATAGCTAGTGAATTAGCTCGATTTGTTTTTAAAAAGCCACTTGATACAATTGTTCATACAATAAGTGATAAACTTGCATCACCATTAGAAACACTTAAACGTCGTGGTGTACCTGTTGATCGTTTACTTCAACATAATCAACAAAATATTCGTTCGACTGTTCAAATGATTCCACAAGAAAATCAATCTAATCATCATCGTTATCAACAAAGTCATATTGAAATGTCTGGTCATGTTGAAGATTTTAATCATCATCAAATAAAAGATGATACAAAATTATATTCTATATTAAAAAAAGGTCGAGCATATACACAGACAAAATTTATTCAACAAGAACATGTTAAAGATGAAATTGATCATTCATGTGAAGCTGTACCATCGGCGAATATGACGCGTCACAAAGAATTATTTCATACATTACCATTATACATTGAACGAAATGTTGCTATTACAGATAAAATGCTTGATCAAGCAAAACAATTAGCTTGGATATTAATAGGTCTTGCTAATCATGTTTTTAAAATACCGATTGAAACTTTACATCTTTATCGAGATATTAATGGAGGTAAAGAGATTTTATTTTATGAAAATTCGATTTTTATTTAAATTTTTCAGCTCGTATTGCGTTTAATGATCGTCGTGCATTATTTTTTAATCTTCGTTATTATGAACAAGTTTTTGCTAATAAAGTTCAACCATATTTACAATCAACATCATCATCAATACCAATTATACATACGATTATAAATTTTTATTTTATATTAACATGTCATGAACTTGCACATAATCTTGAAATAGCACATAATTCCAATTTTATTAATCATTTAGAAACAATCGCAGTCAAATTTCTGACAGAAAAAGATTTATTTTTACAACAATTCTCGTTTCAAAATTATTTACAAAATTAAATAGTATGTTTTTTGTTGATGTTGTCGTTGTGTATGTATAAACATAAATAAAAAATATATTCAATTCTATCATGCACTTACGCATAAGATAAATTTAATTATTTCTTTCTTTTCAACATGATTTTAATTTTTAATGATTTGTCTTTCATGAAATATATTTCCATTAGTCAATATTAAAATAGAGAAGAGGCGTTTTCTTTCATCTGTACGTAAATAGATCTTTAAAATGAAAAAGAATTATTGAATCGGTTCATTGCATGTTTCATTGAACATAATACATAAAAAGAAAATAATATTATAAAAACTCTAATATCTTTCTTCCGCCATCGCATTTATTCTCAAATAAATACTCAAGATATTGCACCACTATAAACATTCTACTGTCAAAATCTCAATATATAATCCTGATTTCAATTGAATAATAACATCATGCAATATACATATAGTAAGTGAATGATTAAAAATAAAGTTATTATTTATTTTTTTTTCTATAGTTTTTTCCCTCTTTATTACTTTGGCAATTATTCAAACGATATTCTCATTTGAAATCATCAACGATGAACAAAACGAAGATAAATCCGATGAAACTCGACAAATTTCGTCATCATCATCGTCATTAAAAAAACAAGAAAATATGCCTGAATGTTTATCTAAAAGTCAATTTTTAAATATGTTAAATCGAGATCGACGAGCATCAATATCTCGTCCCTATTTTCAACATCGACGGCCATCTCGTGATAATAATCGTTATCCAACTAAAAATTCATTAGCATTTTCTCCTCGTTTAGGTAAACGAGCATATGAAGACGAAAATGAATTTGCAACTCGATCAGTTGATCTTGATACATTTCTTGTAACACTTGTTGGTCATTTACAAGGAAAAAAAATTGATATTGTTTATGAAGATTCAACAAAAATTTGTTTATCCCAATCAATTAGTGATACACTTATACAACAAGTCCTTGACAAATTTGATACAAATCGACGTAATCAAGATATACAGGAAAAAGAAGAAATACGTACACGACAACAATCAGCAAAACATCCAGTTTTATTTCGTTATCGTCTTGGTTAATTGTATCATGATTTTTTGTAATAAAACAATACAGAAATAAAAAGAATGATACAATATAAAACAATTCATTGTTAATTGAAAGTTCATCTAATAAAATATGAGATATTCATATGAACAGATACAGTTAGAAACTTCTCGAATTTTTGAAATATTCCATTTATTGTTTTCTTATATTTTAGAATGGTTTATATTAAAATGATTAGTATTTTTTGTGAACAATCAGTTTAATATATTGATCGATATAAAATTTAGTGTTGAACAATTGTTGTATCTGCTTAATCCTAAAGTCGAGTTTTTGAAGTCTTTTGCAACTGTCAGGAGTAGCAGAATCGTTAAATGAGGAGGTAGACGCGAAAATTCTTAGATCTTTGTAGATCAATCGTTATTTTTGTGAAACACGATTTGATAGAGTGTTGAAGTGTTTAAGGGTAAAAACTTGGACCCACTCACCCTCTTACCTAGTAGTTTAATGATTTAGTTGCGTTCTACAGTTGCAAAAGACTTCAAAAACTCGATTCTAGGATCAGGATTTTCAGAAACACCGAACTTGACCTTCCTTACAGTGATATCTAATCAGATACACTTTAGATCATTAATTCAACAAACAGATACAACAATTGTTCAACACTAAATTTTATACCGATCAAATTAACCATTCACAAAAAATAATGATCATTTAAATACAACCCTGAAACAATGTGTGAAGCATAAGGTAGTCAGTTATCTGGCGTACAAAAACAATGAAGTAAATATTTGTTTAAAAAAAGCCTTTCTATGAACGGTTTATTTTTTTAGTTGCTATTGCTCGAGCTTTAATCCGTAATCCAAAAATTCTTCTTCTTGATAAGGCAACATTAGCATTAGATAATAAAAGCGAAAAAGCTGTTCAATCAACATTAGATCAAGCACGCGTAGGTCGAACATGCTTAACAATTGCTCATCGTTTATCAACAATTCAAAATTCTGAAAAAATTGCTGTTGTAAATCGAGGCAAATTAAAAGAAGAAGTAAGTTTGAAATTAATTTTATTCATAATAAAAGATTAAATATTATTTTTGGGTACCCCATGAAGAACTATTGGCAAAGGGAGGATTTTATACACAGCTTGCAGTATCACAACTGGCTGTTGGTCATCGCTGATTAAATGACGCTAAATATTCAGTCTCCATCTTGTTTTAAGTCCGTTTAGGATACTCTGTGTATTGATTGTACTGATATATAAGCTTAACTTTGAAATAGTGTTTTTTTTATTTGTTAATTTTGGCAGCTTCTCTAAATTTTTGTAAATTAATATATGTTCTAGAATTTATGTTATTATACAAGTATAGACCTGTATTTATCGGCTAGTAGTAATAAAGCTTATTTGTTTGACAGGTTTTTGCAGGAGTGGATGTACCGATTCGATGGAATAAAAAACAAAAAGGTATATAGTTTTATTTTTATACATTTTGGAAAAAGTTATATCTATCGTGATTATTTTCTTCATATATTCATGTAAATTTTGATCGAGTTTCAATAACTTCTTATTTATTTTGTCTTTTATGAACAATCTTATATATATTCTTCTTTTGAAAAATATTGCTGAAGAAGTGAAATAAACTAAAAAGCACTTTTATATTTTATGGCAAATTACCAAAATTAGTATTATTATTCATGTACTTGATACATTTTATTAGAGTAACAAAGGATAATTCAACACACCTTTTATAATTTTTGTGTTCTAATATCCAGAACTTTTAGAGAAAGTATTTCTTTGTTGAAATCTTTTCTCGTACCACTTCCATAGTCATTCTACTGAGACCTACTAGAAGCTGTGTCTAATGACTTCCGTCTGGAACGTTTTGTGTTAGCCTGTCTGTAGGGCTAAGAGAGAAAGTAGGAGTGTATATAAGTATATCTCATAGATTTAATTCAAAGAACACGTGTGTTACAAGAAGAAATGAATAATATATATAAAAAAGAAAAAGAAAAAGAAAAAGAAAAAGAAAAAGAAAAAGAAAAAGAAAAAGAAAAAAAAGAAGAAAAAAATGTGATATATGTTTACATTTTCGACTCAGCGCATCATGCATCGTGACTCAAAAGAAAAAAGAAAAAGAAAAAATGTAATACATGATCACATTTTTAATAAAAAGCACATAAGAAAGAGTGATGATTTGAGTCATCGCTATCATTTTGGTACTTAATGAATGTATGCGGAATGATTTGACTATCTTACACGTTTTTGTCTGTTAACAATAAAATCTTATTTTTAACAAAAAATATACTATTAAAAAGAGCAAACATTTCTCTACAAGCCTATACTAACAAGAGACCAAAAAGAATAAGTAAATATTCATTCGAATTCAATTCGACTATTATAACTAATGTTCTTTTTCGACAGACTACTATCTATCGATTTCTACGAGAAGGATTCATTTTTTAATATTTTATGTATCCCTATAAACTTTGTCTTCATTAAATTGTGACCAAGCAGTGTCACATTTTCCTCTGGCCTGATTTTATAGTATTGATATTATTTGATGAATAAATCGGATATTGACAAGTATTTTATCATATTTGCCTTGAAAACATGGACATCCTGAATATTTTAGTAAGTCACATTCATTCTCAGTTTATTATATATCTTATCAACCATGTTTTGATATTTGACCTGTCAATGTGTGATTATTTTGGAAATGTCGATTGTGTTCTTTTGAGAATAAAATCATTTGAAAAGATATTGAATATGATATATTCTTTGTTTTTAATTATTTTCATTTGTTTCATGTCATCGATAACTTTTTTTTATATTAAGAAGTTCATTGTTACTATAGTATGTTAAAAAGATAAAGTTTTTGCTTTTTGTGCTCAACTTGTATTCCGGCAATAAGATACAACTGAACTCATTTTATTGACAAATAAAACGAACAGGACAATAAAGAAAAGAACTCTTAAATGATACAACAAAGAAGAACTCTGAAAATCATACAATATTAATAATATAAATGATGACTGTTAAAAAGAAATAAATAGTAGATATACAACATAGAATGATAGCTGACAAGCTATCTAAAAAATAGAACAACTGACTAGAAAGATTAAGATATATATATATAATACTTTTACAACAATGACTAGTGTCTGTAATTTTTTCTTCTGTAACAATACCTTCTGTTTGTATTAATTTTGGTATTTGAAGAATAATTATATATCAACTGGTATCATTTCAATTTGTGACTTTGTCATTAGTGTTGTTGTTACTGATACCATTGTTGGCAGTATTTTTGTTACTGGTGTTGTTGCTTCTGCTGGTTCAGTTGTTGTTTGAATCATACCTGCTGGTTCAGTTGTTGTTTGAATAATATCTGCTGGTTCAGTTGTTGTTTGAATAATTTCTGCTGGTTTTATTGCTGTTGGTGGTTTTGCTGCCATTCGTTTTAATGGTATTGCGACAGTTTGATTGTTATTT